TTGGCTGCCGAACAGAGACTGGAATTGACTTCATTTCATTTATGCTTTACATGCATGCACATGCTTTCTCTTTAATAGCTCCATTATGTACCAACTTGCTCCTTTAGAATTTCATTGCTGGAATGCCTCCCCACTTCACTCATTATGCTAGCTGCAAATCCTCCTGAGCAGGGTTCAGTGTTGGACGGGATAAGGATTCCAGACATGTTCAATTGGGTTGAAATTTGGATATGTTATAGTACACACCCAATGGAACAACTTTCATGAAGATCTTCACCTCATCCGAGCCCCACAGCATTCTGATCCAAGGCCAAGAAGTTGACCTACGAAACTGGGCTGGAAATGGGCTGTAGCCAAAATTAGTTTGTCTTTAAGCTCATATTCCTCATATGCCAATCAGCCCATAACATGCATGGATTGCATCATTTCCTATCCAAAGTCATCATTGTTACCTAAATGTCAATTAACTGAAAGATAAACACAAAAAGGATTAAAAGCACAAGTTTAACTCAAAAACATAACCAAATCATAAGCTAGAAGGGTACAAAATGATATACAATTATGAACCGATCAAGGACCTAGAAATTTCCAAGAAATTTCCCGGCGTCAATCAAGTCAGAGACCAAGTTGGCATTCCCAGAGGCTATGGCAGATTTGATTAGACGGTTGAGAGAGGAAGAGGGTGTAAGATGATGGAGGGAGTGTAACATCCCGTCCTAAAAATCACTTTTTAATTGATTATTTATTGTGAAATTACATATTTGCTCTTGGGTGTAGGGCACTTTAGTCATTTTTTATTCAAAGAGGAATTTGGGGAATTGAGTGGCACCGTTGCATAGAGCTCAACAATGAGAGTTTGTAGACAGGCAGCAGGTTCAATTCGAAGTTAAAACGAAGAAGTTATGATCTACAGAAGTGCAGTTCCACAACTGTAATTTTTGCAAAGTTAAAATTTATATATCCCAGCTTCTCTCTCTCCCGAACACTCTATCTCTCCTCTGTTTCTTTCCCACCGCCACACCGTTGTTTCCGACGACGGTTGCAGTGCCGTCCGGCCACGCCAGGCCACATGACTAGTCGGAAAAGAACCGGGAGGAGCTGGAGATCACGCCTAGGCTGAAGCCCAGCCATCTTAGGCCATCACGCTGCCACGACAAGCTCAAAAAGTTCCGAGATTTTTGAGCATTTAGTCGCCTTTTTCGGCGATTTTGGCGATTTCGGCGACCAATTTCGTCGATCCAGGTATGAATCTTCATGCCCTCTACGTGCTCTAGTTGTTTATGCTAGTATCTTGGATTGATTTTGAGGTTTTTCAGATAGTTTAATCTACCCAGTTTTAGCTTTCGGTTTCGGCCTTAATTGGCTAGTTCTGGTTAGTTTTTGGTCGTGGTTCAAGAACAAAAAGTGTTCCCCTAGTTGTGCTAGACCCATTCCAGTAGTGAAGGTATTGTGGAGAAGTCAAACCATTGAAGAAGCTACTTGGGAACCCGAGGCGCAGATGTGGGCCAAATACCCGTATCTCTTCGAATGATAGGTACGAAAATTTCGAGGGCGAAATTTCTATAAGGGGGGTAGGTTGTAACACCCCAACCCTAATTATATTGCCTATTTATTTGATTTATTTAAATTAGGAAATTACAATTTTTGCCTCCAAGGGTAAGGTCATTTTGATCACTTTTTAATTCGGAAAGATTA